ATGCCCCTTCCACCTGCCCGCCCCCACAAAAAAAACCCACACATATATGAGACTTGATATTTCAAGAGAGAAACAAAAGAAATTAAGTTCAGGCATGTGCATTATTCAGAGAGATACAAACAATTCTGAGAAGAGACAGGTGGGCCTAATGGGAGAAGCCAGGGTGGATGCTGAGTTCTGAGAGCCGGCGATGAGCAAAAGTCACTTTAGGACTAAGGGAAGGTTTAAGCTGTCAGGGTGACATATGTGTGTCATCTCAGCACTGGAGAGGCTGAGGAAGAGGATCAGGAGCTTAAGATTATCTTTCCTTGCCTATACAGTGAGCCAGCCTGGGCTACACGAGGCCCTATTTTAAAAAAAAAAAAAAAAAGCAAGGAAAGGAAGGAAGGAACGGAGAGAGGGAGAGAGGAAGAGAGAAAGGTGAGAGGCTGGGGCAGACGCCTGGTGGAGGAAGGGGCATGCTTGGGAAGGAGTCTGACTTAGCCAGCATTCGAGGTGTATAGGAAGCAGGCAGAAGAGGGAAGCCGGAAGGGCAGGCGGAATCTGCAGTGTGGAAGTCCTTACACCACTCCAAGGGCTTTAAAGGGATTTGTCAGGGTGGAGGAACACAAGAGAAGAGCGAGGGACAGAGGAAAAGAGACCAATGCAGAACGAGAGCTTGCTGGGATGCCAACTCTTGCAGGGACAGGCCCAACCTGTCCCTGTCCCATCATCTCATGCATGAACAGACACCCAAGGCAGCCTCACCTTGCAAGAGCCTGGGGAGGAATGGGAGTTGAGAAATCCAAGGTATACTGGGAACAGTCTATGCCTCCCCCTCCCGGAGCCCCAGGGGTGGGCGACGTGATCTGGGGGTGAGTCAGTTGGGTGGGAACCCCACTCCTTCTTATAGCCACCTCCTGGCTGATATAAGGCGCCACCAGCGAGGCCCCGCCTCAGAGCATCCCAAACCTGGCACCATGAAGATCCCAATTCTTCCCGCTGTGGCTCTCCTCTCTCTTCTGGCATTGCACGCCGTCCACGGAGCTGCCCTGGGGGGTGCTGAGGTGAGCACACCGCAAGCACTGGCCTTTCTTAGACCTATTACCCAGCTGTCCCTTGGTGCTTCCTGTCCATTGCTGGAGAAGTGGCTCTTACTTGTTGGATGAGAAGTTGGGATTCTGAGGGGGTAAAGCAAGTGGGAGAGCTTGGGGGTGCAGCTTGGTGCAAAAGGAGGGAGGGGGCAGAATAGAGCAATTCTGGGAAGATGGGATGCTTACATATCCGGAAAGAATGGTGAGGAGGGTCTTTGGGATCCCCCTAATCCTGCCTTCTTTCTACCTCCCTGAGTAGCTTCCAGGGATGGGAGGTCCCCTGCTGGCCTACACTCCTTAGACTGGGTCCCCAGATAGAGATGACCCCTGGAGTCCCTCTGCCTGTCTTACCCTGAGGGAGGGAAGAGCTTTGCTTCTGGATTTGAAAGTCTAAGACAAGAGGCTTGGTCTCTACTGGGTTTGAGCAAGTAGCCTCGGTAAGCAGGACCTCAAATGAGCTGGGGAACTTTGACAGGTCTGAAGGGCATTTGGTCTCTGTGCCATCAGACTGTGGCTAAGTGGAGAGATGGTAGCCACGGTGGTTGGAGCCTTATACTTTTCATGAGAGACTGGAAATCTGTGTTTATTTATGAATTCTTGCTTATTAAGAATTAGCTGGATGGGCTGCAGAGATGGCTCAGAGGTTGAGAGCACTGACTACTCTTCCAGAGGACCTGAGTTCAATTCCCAGCACCCACATGGTGGCTCACAACCATCCGTTATGAGATCTGGTGCCCTCTGCTGGTGTGCAGATATACATGGAAGCAGAATGTTGTATACATAATAAATAAATAAAATCTTAAAAAAAATTAGCTGGGTGTAGGGGGACACAATTGTGATCCCAGCACTTGGGAGGCTGAGGCAGGAGGATCAGGGGTTTGATGTTCATTTGGGCTACGTTGTTAGAACCAGCCCCCCCCCCCCCCCACACACACACGAAGTATTATAATTTTTATTTTTAAGATTTCAGTTTTCACTAAGAGTGTATGTATGTGTCTGTGTGTACGTGAATGGACACGCCAGTGCCGATGGAGGTCAGAAGAGTTTCTCACCCCTGGAGCTGGAGTCCCAGGCAGTTGTGAGGCCCCTAATGCAGAGGCTGGGAACCACAGGTGTCCTCAACAGGAGCAGCAGGTGTTCTTAACCTCTGAGCCATGCTTCAAGAGTTTAATTCAAATTTAAAACAACTATGTCAAACCACCAAGCTCTACAGATTGGGACCCTGCCCAGAGGGCCGTGGGGAGGAAGAGATAAGGGAGTCAGTAAGATGGGCACAGAGGTCTTTAGAGAATAGAAGAGAGACTCAGTCTGTGGCAGCAGGCACTCACCTTGGGGGCTTGGTTCCTGCTAGCACCCTGGTCTCCACCCAGCCTGGCCAACACGCACGGGTGTTTTGGCACACAGAAAATCAACTGTCAAACAATACTAGCTGGTTTTGTTAGCTGGGGTTCTGTCTCCACCCTTTCCACCCACTGCCAGGGACTGGGTGTACTGGACCATGGGCGGTACCTCTTGGGGACCAGCTTACAAAGAAGGAAGAAGATAGGGAGAGGTGGGGTGGGGGTGTCAGGGAAAAGGGCTCACCATTCACAGGGTCGTTTGTCTGGTTTCTGTCATCCTCTCCAGGAAGAGGCGACCATCAGTAATTATGCTGCGGGATCTGAGGTAAACACCTGTTTTCCCATACTCTCCAGGGTGTCTCCCCCTCTGTCGTCCTCTGTGACTTCCCTAACACCCTGCTTTTTTGCCTAGGGCTTTAACAGTCAGTTCCTGAACCTTGACAAGTTGCAGTCTGTGAGTATGACTCCCCGGCTTGCTCACCTCATAGAGGAGACAGCTAGCGAAGTTCTGGGACCCATTTCCTCTTTCCCAGCGGGCTGGGTGAAGCACGGATGGCCTCTGGAACTGACTGGCTTCTGGCTTCTCTTTTTTTCTCCCCCACAGGCCTTCAAGTCTGATGACTTCCTAAACTGGCATGCCATCACTGATGTAAGTGCTTAGGGTGTAGATGAGAGGCAGGGATGTGAGGGACGCCTGTAATTCCAGCACCCCAGTGCCTGGGGTGGAAGGATCATGAATTCGAGGCCAGCCTGGGGCACACAGTTAAGGTCCTGACTTGAAACCAACCAACCAACCACAATTTACTTGAGTCCTCTATTCCTCATGAAGAAACGGGTTTACCCAAATCAAGAGAGTTGAGTCAGAGTTGGCACAGCCAGACTAGTGTCCTTGGCTCTGTGCTTTCTAGGTGGCCCCTTGCAAACATTTTAGGCTCTTTGAGCCTCGGTGCCTTCATCTGGGATGTGCGGGGATGAAGACAAAGCTTGCCTGAAGAGGCTGCTCTGCTGTCTGCATAGCTGCTAATGCCAAACAGACACAGGACGAGGCTTCCAGAATGTGGGCTCTTACTGTGATTAGAAACCAAGCCAATGGCTGTGACATTTGGCTGAGCACAGTACCCTGTTACTCCTGGTCACCCAATGAGTGAGTGTTCGCTTATTCAGTGTTAGTGATGCCTGCTTACCTGACCTCGCTCTCTCCTTTTAGGCATTCAAAAAGGCATTACCTTTCATTAACTGGGAATTCTTCCCTAAGGTAAGACTGACATTCACTCATCCGTTAAGGAGAGTGGGATGAGGGAAGAGGCAGAGAATTTGAGGGGGGGCGGTGTACGGACGCTGAAGGAAGGATGAACCTCTCCCCATAGCTCAGAGCCATCTCAGCTACTATATTCAGAAGACAATGGAAACTCAGACCAGGCTAAGAATTCTTTTCCACCAAAGCCCCGCCCATCCCGGCTTTGTTATGGGGCTCCAATCCTGGGTGGGGGGGTCCCCAATCTGACCATCACCCCTTGCCCTTCAGGTAAAAGGACTGAGAAGTGCAGTTCCCGATTCCCAGTGATCATTCTCTTCAGGACCTAGGACCTAGGCTGACCCTACGAAGAGGAGACTAGCACGGAATCCGACGTCCATTGTCCATTCTACGGCAAATCTCCCCTGGCTCAGTACCTCCAATAAAGCTTTTTCCACCAGGTGAGTGGCTCCTGAGTCTGTGTGTCAGTCCTTATCCTGCTGGGCTCTGGAGAAGAATGAAGGCTGGTAGGGCAACCCTTGAGTTCTGAGAGGATTGAAAGCTGGGAGGAAAAGGGAGGGGATCCACCTCGCACAGTGAGGTAATCTCCTAAGTCAAGTTTTTAGAGTTTATTCACCAGTTTCCTGTCAACTCGAGATGAGGGATGAGACAGGTCCACCTCTCCAAGGATAACGGATGGGAGCATTGAAGAGGTGAAGAAATCGGGTGTTAGGGGCGGGGAATGGTGACTGGAGATGAGGAATATGAGGGCATCAGTGACCTGCCCCTGCTCCATCGAATTCATCCCGTTACTAGGTCTGGAGGGTCAAGACATCCAGTAGCCACACCTTTGGCCAACCATCCTGTTGTTTAACCTTGGAGGAGCAAGAATAGGTTTGAACTCTCAGACCTTAGGTCAGGATGGAATGAGCCACATCTGTGGCTCCCACAGAGAGTGTCCTTGGTGGCTTCCACTATGGCTCTCAGCTTGTCTTTTGAGGCTGGATCTCTGACTGAACTCAGATCTCATCAACGCACTAGACTCTGTGAGAGCTCAGGGTCTGCCTAGCTTTCCTTACCTCAGTCCCAGGACTAAAGTAACAGACATGCACGGCCAAGCCCAACAGTCCCAACTCGCATCCTCACAATTGTGTGGCAGGCACTTTATAGACTGAGCTGTCTCCCCAGACCTCTGGGTTTTAAACTTTAACTTGGGCAGAGTGCAAGACTTTAGTCCCAGAATTCAGGGAGCAGAGGCAGGTGAATCTCTGTGAGGTGGAAGCCAGTCTGGTCTGCATAGCGAAGCCTTGTATCAATAAACAAACAAACAAACAAACAAATACATAAATAAATAAGAAAAAAGCCCTTCACTTGGAATGGAGAATGGCTCAAAGAGAAAACAATTTGTTAATTTCATTGTGGGGACGTGGTTCCCCTTTGTGCCTTGGTGTTAACTGACAGCCTTGGATGTGTTGAAGATATTTGTTTCTTGGTCAGATGCCCATGAATTCGAACTTCCTCCCTGACCTATGGCACTGGCCCCACCCACCTTCTGAAAACCTAAATGATTTAATGACAGTTTAGTAAAATAGAGCTGTCTGGAACTCAAGGTTCAGGACCCAGCTCAAATCATGTGACCCATTTGAAATCACCCAGCTTAAATCATGTGACCCATTTGAAATCTCTTCTTTCCCCACTCCTCCCTCCCCCCCTCAATTAGGAAAGTTATAATTAAATAAAGCCAGTGCTGTGATTTTTGTCCTTTCTGCGTTTGTGTGTGTGTGTGTGTGTGTGTATGTGTGAAATGAGTAAAAGAATAAACAAGAACCCTGACAAATTGCATGGCAGTCTTGGATGGAGGTTAAATGAAATAAACATCAAAAATCTCCTTGTACAGGGCCAGGCATACAGTAGACACTTTATTATCTGTTCTCTCCAGCTCCCACATTCAACCAGAGAACTGCCCCAATGACGCATGCATTCCCACCAATGGCGCATGCATTCACCCCGATTGCGCATGCATTCACCCACACACTCACCCACCCATCCAGGCATCCATCCCTGCGTCTACGCATTCTTCCACCCAACTATTACACATTCGTGCATACGTTCATCTGTTCACTCATCTACCCATACAGGCATCCGTCCCTGCATCCCTGCATCCATCCATCCTTCCATCCATCCATCCGTTCATGGTACCTGCTTTCCAGGTGCCTGCAGATGAAATGGGTACCACTTGTACGGGGTGGGTTGTCAGACCAGCTAACACATGTGCATGGTGGGGAACCAGACTGACTCAAGGCCTTCTGAGAGGCCTTGATGCAAAGGGAACTTTGGTCTTTTTCCAGGAATGGGCTTTGGCAAGGCCTGTCTGATGGTGGCACCAGTGCCTCACAGGAGTCAAGGTTGTGGCTTCTGGGGACCTGACTCTTCTCCCTGGGCTGTGGTGATCAGTCCTTAGGCCACATGTGTGAGGAATCCCGTGTTCTCTTTGCTAACACTGTCTGACTGGGCCCTCTGCTGACCATGGCCGTTTCCCCTCTGCAAACAGTAGAAGATGCTGTATTTCTTAATAAACTTCCGTGGCTTGTGCAAGAGCTTCCCACCCTCGTTTCTATCTGCTCCATCTTCTGAATTCTCTGTCTTTCTCTTCCCCTGTCACCTTCCCATCAAGATCTTGTCACTGAAGGACAACCTGCTGGTCCAGGTCACATATGTGTTTATACGCTTCCTTTTGGTTAAGTAACAAGCACACAAAGGTGAGGAAACTACAAGTGGGATGATCCTTAGAGGAAAAAAATAACAAAATCTGCCAACACAAGACGCCAAAAATTGGGCACTCGAAAATATGAAGACAGGGCAAGGTTTTTAAAAGATGTTTATCGAGTGTCTATTTCTTTTTTTCTTTTTTCTTTTCTTTCTTTCTTTTTTTTTTTTTTT